CACCTCCAGGTCATCCTTGGCAATAACAAAACCAAGCCCTTCACAGCAACTGCCGCGGCCGCCAAAGAAGAGGCCAAGCCAAGAGGCCCGTGGAGCCGTCCGCGGGCCCGACAGGCCCGCCGCCGAGGCGGTCAGACAGCTCAAACGCCAGGCAGCACGCCGAATTGGCGGACGGGTGCCACATGGACCACCGACCCCTGAACAAACATCGGTTTTAAGCGAGGGAAGTTTAAATCCAATCTTGAGATTTACCTCGGCACCGCTGTTTTAAACTAGTTTTTAAAACGATAGCCAAGACCCATAAAATGAATAAATATGTACCTTGGTGGGGCAAATCTACGAGTGAATGCGGTCCACTGTCGCCAGCCTGAAACAATTCCGTAGGGGTGGTCTCAAACACTGGGGGGCCCACCCACGTCTGAACAACAATCCGAAGGGGAGCCGGAGAAACCAGGGGACTCCCCCCTCTAACCACCCGCCCAAAGGATCTGCAGGTCCAGACAACCCCCCTGTCGCAAGAAAACACCGACCCCCCCCCCTGGGCTATTCGCCGTTATCGTCGCAGCCCGTCCTTCTCCTCCTCCTCCTCCTCCTCCTCCTCCTCCTCCTCCTCCTCCTCCTCCTCCCCCTCCTCCGCCCCCTCCTCCTCCTCCTCCTCCGCCTCCTCCTCCTCCTCCTCGTCCTCCTCCTCCTCCCACCTCTTCTCCTCCCCCACCTCATCGATGCTCCTCGAGACGCCCGGCCCACGGACCCGGGGAGCCCCCGCCCCGAGGGCGCCCCCTCGCGGGCGGCTCCTGCCGCACGGGCCAGGCGGAGTCGCTGTCCGCCGCCGCCTCCAGCGCGTTGAGGCGCTCGTCGAGCATGTTGATCTCGAGCACCGCCTCGGGGAGCGCGTGCCAAGACGAGGCCAGGACGAGGAGGACTTCGGGTGGGGAGCAGAAAGGATCGAGCATCTCTGGGAGCCGGCGGCCCTGGAGGACGTCTCGGGCGCCGCGGCCCTCTCACAGCGCTCCCGAACGCCCTGAGAGCGTTCTGGAACGCTCTGGAGCGGACGTCTCCTCGTCCTAGCCCCGTCCGACGTGCTCCCGACGACGGTCGAAGTCGACGTTGTCGCTGCGGTGGCTTCGTGGGCGTTCCTGGGGGGGGGGGGCTCTCGTCGCTGCGGCGGGGCGCGGCTCGGAGAGCCATGGCCGCCGCTTGGACGTCCACTGCCCGTGCATGTTCGAGTCTCGTGCTTCAAGATGGCCCAAGATGCTCCTCGAGTGTCCCCGCCGAGAACACGGGCACAGGGCTGAACCTACACGGTGTTTTTCGTTTTCGTTGTGTTTTCGCTTTCCCTCGCCTTGTCTTAAATCCGCCTTTAGCCCAAAACGAAATCGAAACGAAAACGGCCCACGAAATCGCCAAACCACCGTTTAGGTCCACCCCTGCACAGGCACGCGTCCGAGCGATGCCGAGAGAGCTGGCCGGGATGAACTCCGGGAGGGGCCCCGAGGACGGACCTGGAGCGGATCTTGATAGGGCGAGCGGACCCAGACCCACAGCGTCCTGAGCAAAGACAAGGGGTGTCGCAACTCCAAGATGGCTCAACCTTGCCCCAACGAACACCCAACGGCCCGCAACACGACCCCAAGAGGCGCCGGGGAAAGCTTCCACGACGCCATAGAGAAGGCACGGAGGCCCTCCTGGAAGGCCAAAGTCATTCGAAGCTCGAGGGGACTTGTAAGCTAGGTTGTTGAATCTGTTGAGCATCCTAGGCCAATCGGCAACGAACATGCGAAGAGGACGTCGACGGATGCACAGAGATGCCAAATAGCCCAGAGAGGGCCTCCAGGAGCCCCCCAGGCGGCCCAAGACAGCTCCATCGAGAGGCCCCAAGACGGCCAAAGAGCAGCTCAGGGCAGCTCAAGAAAAGGCCCAGTACCCCAAGAGACTCCCAGGACAGCCGATGGGGGGGCTCCCCAGACGGCCGAGAGGGCCCGAGACAGCACCAAGGCGGCCCAGGAACCCCAAGACGACCCAAGAGGGCACAGCAGGAGCCCAAGACAGCCCCTGGACGCCCCCGAGGAGGAGGAGAAGGAGGAGGAGGAGGAGGTTTCGCGGGGGAACAAGTATACACCAGACCGCCCCGACGTCGTCCCCGACCCTCGAAAAGTCGTAGGATTGAAAAACGGCCCGCCACTGGTCATGTATTTGTTCCAGTTTCCGAGGTAGGGTAGAGAATCAGCTCACGTAGCTGATTTTCCCAGCGCCTCCCGGCGCCGGGAAGGCGCCCCTGTATCGAGGCATGGGCCCTGCGGCGGGGCCGAAAAAGCAGCTGCATGCAGCAGACTTCGTAACCCCCCCTTTCCCTATCCCTTACCAGCCTCGAACGTATCCCTATCCCTAAGATTGACACGCCAAAAGGCGATGACAATCTTAGAGATCCGCCCTCCAAAAATAAGGGAATCCCTGAGCTTGGCATCGTGACGAGGAGGTGCCCAGCATAGGGACAGGGACATGTTCCAGGCTGGCAAATTCCCCCCCCCCCCCTCTCGTTCGGCCCGAAGCTCGGGAGGCACGGGCGGGTTGTCGCAGGAGAAGTGGCCGCAGCGGGGCGCGGCGCCGCTTTTTTCCCTCGCGGAGCGGCACGCGGCGGCCTCTCCCGCGGCGCGGGGGCGGCCGCCCTCAGGAGCCCGCGGCCATGGCCAGCTCGTCCTCGTGGACGGCCCGGGGGGGCTGCAGGTCGAGCTCCCGGAAGAGGTTGGCGTAGGCGGCGATGAAGCTCTTAACCCAGTTCTTGACCACCTCCACGGGCACCCAGTCGTCCAGCTCCTCCACCTGCAGCGACATCAGCCCCATGTTCTCCCCGATCTGCTGCATCATGTCGAGGAACCCCTGCTGGTCGATGTGGGAGGAGATCTGGTACGGCTGCAGCAGGTCGTACAGAGTCATCACTGTGTCCCTGGATGCAAACCGAACCGAAGGGCTAGCCGCAAACGTAAAGAAGGAATCACCCTGCAACACCAGCAAGACAACCCAGTCCGCGAAAAGGTCCCGGCCCTGCTCGTCCTTAATTACGTCCCACAGCTCGACATCGCACTGGGCTTTCAACTTCGACAAGAAATCGAGGTCTCCCACAATCCGCTTGCGCTCGTTGCAGAACTCTGCGAAGTCGAGAAGCTCCTGGAACGTGACGCCGCCGTCGTGGTCCGCGTCTAGCTTCCACAACGTGGCTATGTGTCGCAGGTCGAGATTGGCATCTTGTGGCGGCTGCAACTCGCGCACCTGATCCAGGTGCAGCTTGTCCCTAGCCTTCAGCACCCGCGAGAATTCGCTCTGCTCCGGGGACCCCGCACAGGGCCGGAGCATAGGGCCCGCAAAAGTGAGTGTAGAACAATGCGCGCTGCCAGTTGTCGCCACTCTGTTGCGCCCCTGGGGAGTAACTAGACCGCGCCCTCCATGGGTGCCTCCAGGCGTGCAACTGTCCCCACGGCGATGCGCCGTGCGGGAATCCAGCGGGGTGGCGCCCCACTGACCGCGCCTCCCCTGACTGCTGCCAGGCGCGCAGCTGTCCCGACCCTGCTGCGCCCCTGGCGGACCCAGCGGGGCGGCGCCGACCTTGGATCAAGAGTTAGACCGCGCCCTCCGCGAGTGCTGCCAAGGCGCGCCCCCCGTCTCCACTCCGCCTCGCCCCTGAAGGGTCCAGCGGGGTGGCGCCCAGCACGTACTCCAGATTTCGTAATAAAAGGGAGGGGGTCTGGACCCTCCAAGACAAGCCATTTCAGACCTCCCCCGTGGGAGAACCCTCCAAAACATCGTCCCCAGACCCCCCAGGCCCTCCAAGATAGCCTGGAAGAGACCCCCCCCCGAAATGAGACCCCCCTCCCTTTATTTCGAAATCTGGAGTGCCGAACCTGGGCCGCGCCCTCGGGCTCTGCTGGGCGCGCGGCCGTCGCCACGCGGCCCGCGAGCAGCCCGGAGGGAGGTGCCGCTCCACGCAGCGCAGGACCGGACTGCGCCCCTCGGACGGTGCGGCCGGGCGTGCAGCGGTCACCACTCCTCATGCGACCCAGGGGGGGGTCTGGCGGGGTGGCGCTCCACGCACGAGCATCGTTTACTCCAGATTTCGTAATAAAGGGAGGGGGGTCTCGTTTCGGGGGGGGTCTCTTCCAGGGTATCTTGGAGGGCCTGGGGGGTCTGGGGACGATGTTTTGGAGGGTTCTCCCACGGGGGAGGTCTGAAATGGCTTGTCTGGGAGGGTTGAGACCCCCTCCCTTTTATTACGAAATCTGGAATAACCGATCCCCATCCCAAGCGGCGTGGCCTGGGCCCCATTGGCCGATTGACCCCCCGAGATGGGGGTACAGGTCGGTCTCTTCGGGCTTCGAGGGGTGTATCCCCGACTGGGGTGGTAAGTTGGTGGGGGCCTCGAAGGGGATGGAGATGGGGATGGGGATCGGTTAACCGAGACCGAATGCAGATGAAAACCAGATCGCGCCCTCCCTGGGTGCTGCCGGGCGTACAGCTGTCGGCACTTCACTGCGCCGCGGCCCCGGCGGGAGGGTCCGGCGGGAGGACGCCCCGCGCGGATCGAAGCTGGACCTCGCCCTCCCTGGGTGCCGCCCGAAGTGGAGGTGTTCTCACTTTGCTCCGCCCCTGGGGGTCCAGCAGAATGAAGTGCTGGGCAACTCCAAGCGGGTCCTCATCCCCCCTGGTGCTGCGTGGCGGTCGCGCGCAGTTCATTCTTCCCTTGTCCTCCCTCCCCTTCGTTATCGCAGCCCCCGGCACTCGCGCAAGGGCGTTCGAGCGATTTCGATATCCGCGCGCGCAGAGTCCGCTTGGTACAATTTCGTGAACATGTTGATAACATATAGTTCCCATGTAGATTCGCAAGAGCGCGCGCAAATTTTGTTGGAGCACCCGCGTTGCGAAACCACGAGTTTTAACGTGTATGTTGCTATCCTTCCGAATCCTGAGGCTTTCGAAAGATTCCGGCATGCGCGCGCGACGACTCGCGCGCGCACTTCCACTCATTGTTTGCAAAGGAATCATGGAAACTTGTGATTTCTGATAAACGAGCGCGCGCAGAATTTTTGTTGGCGAAGGCTAGCGTAGGGGGTCGATGCCGGCTCGGCTGGGATGGTATGAGTTCATGTTGAGGATGGGCGGCGGGGCAGCGCATGTAAATTGCAACGCGGAAGCATGTAAACCTGGGGGGGGTGGGGGGGCAGGGTAGAGGAGTCGATCCTCTTTTTTGTGGCAAAAACTGGCTTCTCTGCACCGCGCTCGACCACCTCCACTGCTCGCGCAAACGTCCCACCCGCCCACCCGCAACTTGGTTTGCAAAAAACACGCGGTGGCGATTGCGATGCATGCTTAGCGTTGGCTGGTGCATCCCTGCGGCCGCGCCAACCTTAGATTGCGCGCGCAGCGGCCAGCTAGTTTGGCGCCGCCGACGCGGCCGCGGCGGCGCTGACCGCTGGGCGCGTCCCAGCGGGCACTTCATTGCGAGTCGGCGACATGGGCGGGCGCGGCATCGCGGCAGCGCCGGCTGCGGTAGACGCGACGATGACACAAGCGATGCTGGCAACGATGTTCGCCCCGACGAAAGCGCGGACAGCGCGGGCGCCGATGCTGGTCGCGCCGACGACGATGACGGCGCCCCCGCGTCGTTGATGGAGGTTTTGGAAAAAGTTCGACATGCGCGCGCGGCCGACACGTGGAGAGTGGCCCGCATGGCATTATGTGATGCGGATCGGGCCCCACCCCAGCACGCGCGCAAGGGCGCGCGAATGATGTCCGCATGCGGCGCCAGACATATGTTGTTTTGGACATTCGGTTTTGAAATCCGAACGAAGCCGAAGGTTTTTGAGGATTTCGGCGCGCGCGCCACGACGCG